AAACTGCAATCATTTTATCAACATTGATTAACAATTTTTTTTTTTTTTGTCAAATAGATCATTATCAATAAGGCCTTTTATATTGAAACTATGAAATTTCAATTAACAACTTTTTCCTATTTCAAGTGCCTGTGTGACATTATTTATATAATGATAAATGGGAAATCCTTTACCTAAGTATACTAGTTGTTTAAAACTTAAAATTCCCCTTATCTAAAAATAGATTTGGAAGAATTATGTCCCTTTACAAAAAGAATTTATATGCAAATATCCTATACCAATAATTTTAAAACTAAAGTAAAGATGAGATATATAAAGCACTTAAAACATTAACCGTGTATGTCAGGTCCGGAAGAGTTGGGTTATCCAATATTAATTAATCAACACTATATCTACAGCTCACCATTTGACCAGGCTATCATTGTTTTTAATTTCCAATATAGTGAATAAAATGTTTAAATAAAAAAACTTCATTAAAAGAAAAAGAGAAGCATTATTTGGGTAGAATAAACAAATATTTTAGATTGAAACTACATGCTAAAATCACACAGCCAAAGAAGGTTTTTTTACTGTAACTACTACATGTACAATAGAAAATGTCCTAAATTAATAACATAAAGTTTCAGTAATAATTATCCCATGAGGATGCGGTGTATCAGTGTAAGATCATCCTGATGGCCGGAGGCCAGAGGGTGATCTTACACTGACACACCAAGTCTGAATGGGATAACTATTTTACATCACAGCTTTTCTAGATTCGATAAAAAACAATTTATGCTTCATAAAATCTAGTTTAGATCGCCACACAATCCTTGAAATATACTTTATATATCATTATATAGTATATACCTTTTGTGAGCCCTGGACACAATGTTTAAATATGTTAAATTAACAGTGAGTTTGTATCCAGTCTTCCTGGTGTAGGGGTTTGAATTGTGGGTCTATATGCTAAAGGTCTTGAGTTCGAATCCCAGCACAGACACTGGATTTTTTCTACATAAATTTTGTGTCCAAAACCTCATGCACAAGTGAATAGCTCAATTAAATGTTTGCATCCAAAAAAACAAAAAATCCCTTTTTAGCCACATTGAAACATAGTCAGAGGTGCCAGCTCCAGACCTCAATTAAACTGATTGAAAGATTATGTCTTCATCATATGAATATCAGGCACAATCACTCCTGTTAGGGGTTTATTATCATACCATCATAAAAGACATGAGAAGAACATAACCAGTATCATGCCAACAACTGGTTTTAGAATAAATGTGTTTATTTCAAATGCAAAGACCCTATAAGTGAATCAATATTAAAGCCAAAATATGCGAATTTTAATGAACTGACTACAGTATCGTAACTATATCCCTTCTTAATAAGTCTGTTTAAAGGTTTTGTTAACTTTAGAGGTGAATGCCGACTTTTTTGTGCTTTGTAAAGAATATTACCATAAAAGATTGGATGTGAAATGCTTGAACGTATAAGATGTCTGCATGTTGATTTATATTTACCAATGATGTCCTTGTACCGATGATAAAATTTAGTAAATGTTTTGACTAGTTTGTGATATCGAAAACCCTGGTGTAATAATTTTTCAGCAAAAGACAATCGACAATTCTGATTTAAAATTAAAACTTGATTTTTTACAAGCCAAACTTGTGCTATGAAATTATATTCACCAGATTAGACATTTAATCGTAAAATGCAAAATGATTTTATGCAAAATTAACCGAATGCAACTATCATTTGTCATATTCAAACACATTTAATGTTAATAGAATTAAAAATCCTTTGATTTCCTGTCAATTTGATAAACAGAATGAATCCCGTTTAATTTCGTCTTCAAAATCAGAAAGAACCGTTAGCCATGTCTGATAAATTTACCATTTTGAGTCATTAAAATCATTTCAATTTTAAACATTTGCATTCAATAACTGTTCTTCAACGTTTTTAGAAAATTGTTAAGAAATTCTTGAAGTCAATGCAATGAAGCAGTCAACACAGGTTTGTTGATCCTATGAATCTAGTGTGAATAATTTCGAGTTTGAATAAGGGGCCCAACTTTTAAGTCATCTCAAAATGACTGAAATTGTGTGAAAAAATTTCAAGAGATCCTTGGTATGGTGGCATGTTTCCTACCAACTGTTAATTGTTAGCTATCATTTTTAAATAATCAGACTCAGCATATAGGTCTAGTACAAAGCATGGTATCTTCCCATCTCATTATCAATATGCATGTAATATTTGTGACTGTAGGTTAAGCGAACAAATAATTAATCAATCAACCTCAAGTGTTTAACCTTCTCATTTTTATCTAACTTTCATGATTCTGCATTAACCTGCAGATGTCATTCCTAAATACAATTTCATGAATCACATCAAAGTATTTTCCAGTCATACTCAACAATTTAATACAAAAAAATACATCCCTAATTTGAAAAACTTTCAATTCTAAAATTAAATTTTGAAAAGAAGTTAATATTTTGTAATTATCGCTATTTTGTGTATTTTTCATTGGATCTTTTTTAGTGATAATTTTTCATACCATGCTACTAGCTTGAGATAGAAAATTATCGTCAGAAACTAAGAGCGCACGTGCCGTTGTCAATGTAAAAATTAACGATGTCATAGGCAAAATAGCGATAAACAGATTATCAATGGTCTTTCAAACTTGAGGATGTTTATGAGATTGTAGCTGAGAAACACCCTCTCGTTCAAAAAACTATCAATAATCTATAAGTATAGCTTGTCATTCAATGTGTTTCACTGACAAGAGAAAAAATACATGCTGATCTCAGTTTGCAGCATTAAGGAAATCTTCTTCATTCTTTGGAGAAATCTGCTGGTGACAGCATACAGCCATATATATTGTCTCCCAGAAAACAAGGAAGATTTGTATTTATTAATTTATAATATTATTACTGTTCCATTCTATTATTTACTATAAATTAGTACAAAGTACAAGGATCATAAACAGTTGAATTTGGTCCTACTATTTTAGTTTGAAATAAAATTTACTTACTATTGATTTATTTTTTGAATCAATAATTATTTCAATGTATTTGTAATAGACCTTATCCTTATTTTAGAATCTTGACACTTGAATAAATGATGCTATATATACAACAACTTTTTGCTTTGAGCATTAGATATTTTCTCTTATGATGTCAAATATTATGGGAACAACTGTGATGTCCAGTAATGAGAGACAAGAAGCAATAAGGTGTATTCACTGTGTATTGAGCATATTTCAATGTGTTATTTGAAAAAAAAAATTTCAAAAGACATATAATCACAGGAAAATATGAAATCACAAAAAAATACATGGCTTTGAAGATTTTAATTCTTTTAGATAACTAACACTATCTGACCAATATATGGTTTATTTCACTTTGTTTAAGAAAATCCAAAACAAAAGTTATCAAAATGTGAAATGGAATAGGTTACAAAGCCCTAAAAAGGTCCAAAATAATTATTTGAAGTGTTTCGTTTCCATCTTTGTGTAAAGTCAAGGGCTGGGGATTTTTTCTTAACACATCTCTTAATTTTAAATTGCACATAGACGTGAACAATTTCAGTTCAAAGCAGGGATAGGGTCAATTACTTTATAAAGAAATCAATAAAATTACAATTAGATAACATTTACAGTTACTTTGCTAATTTAATTGATTACTTAACAATGACAGCTCCATTCAAATGTAATCGATTACATAAGATTACTTTTCATAAAGGTACATGTAATCATGATTCCCTGGATAACTTATAATTACATTATAGACTGTGATATTGTAAAAAGGTTTTAAAAATTTTTATCCTCACATAAAAAAGCTAATTTGAATGAAATACTGTCTTCAATACCTTTAACCCTTTTACCGATAGCCGCCCTGGCAGAGGCTACTCTGAGACGATGGCTTCCCTGGCTATTGTGACACAAGTGGATTATCTTCATATTTAAAAATATCAATAAAAACTTGTCTGTAGTTATTTATGTCTTTAATTTATTCACTTACACCATGGACACAGTTTTGTTTATGATTTGATAAAAAAAATTGTCAGAAAAAATCAAATTTGCTATTTTTCGGTCTTAAAATAGATGAAATTAACGAAATTCAACTTTTTGACCCAAATCGTAAATTTTTAACCCAAAATGGCATAATTTTGAAAATTTTAACAAAGTTGTAAACATTCCTTACACTGAACGATGTCCATTCCAAGCGTTTTGTACATAAAATGGTATTTTATGTCAAAAAAGTATACTAATCTGACTTCAATTCTTCCAAATTCTTTAAAAAAAATTGTTCCCATATTTCAAATTTCAGTAAAATTCGTAAATTTCATTTGATTTTGACCCGGTTTTCAACAAACAGAAACGCCATGTTTACACTTTCATCCGGGCATTAAACAAAGAAAGATAACTTGTGTCCAAAATGTTTTTCAGCAGGAAAAATAATGGAGGTATTCCCATCCCGGTAAACTGGGACTCATCGTCAGCTGTCTGAAGCATGAATCCCATTAAACCGGGATTCATCGGCCAAAGGGTTAATACATACATGTAATTAAAATTTAAGACTGTAATATTTGTACTGTTTGATAGCATAGCTAAGTGTCCTTTACATATTTACCATTGTACTTTATCATCAGTAATTGAAAAGTTGAGTCATTTAGTCTGCATCTATCTGCCCAAAAGAATTTCCCAGCGACACTAAAAATCTATTCAACTGGCGCAGAAGTAGTAGGAATGGTAAGATAAATCCTTTCAAGTTTTGTAAGTATTGGGTATATCTCAATGAGATCCAAGTTTTGTAAGTATTGGGTATATCTCAATGAGATCCCTCCAGTATTGTAATGGATCACATGCATCACCATATGACAGGATCAAAAAGATTTTGTAAAATTTCTATTTTGACGATATTCCCCAAAACATGTTTTTTTCATTCTACCGAGTCAAAGATTTAAATAGTGGACAAAAAAATTGAGTGACTATAACTTTTTTATAAATTATTTACCTTTTCATGTCTTCAATATCTTTTTGAATAATATCCAACTCTTTGATAGCAGAGAAATCAGCCACATGACTAAATGGTCCTGCATTGGTAGCATCCTACAAATAAAACATAACAATTAAGTCAATTCCCTATTCCTGAAAAACTGACATGAGTCAATACCATAAACAAGGGTTAAAGGTTTGATGTAAATTGTAAAAATGTTCCACTAATGAATTTCTAAAAATCTGTTTATTTGACCTACATAATACTGCTTCTAAATATATGCCCTAATAGCTAAATCTTGGTGGTTTTGTACATATTAGCAAATCTTGTCATAGATCTTAAATAGATATGGTATTAACAAAATGCAAAATGAATGGGATTCAATGTGATCAGATGTATCAATTCATAACTAAAATAATAATCGAACTGAATAGAAAAGAGTAAGTGTTTAGGAATAACACTACTGTATTTGAACAGATTTCATGTGTACTGTATTTCTTTTTCTAATGTGATACTCCTAAAATTTTCAAAATGAAAACATTAGAATTACCAAGGAAAAGGCAACTGAAAATGCACAACATTGTGGCAAATGACTCCCATTGTCAACAGTTGAAGACAGCAAATGTCAACCAATCAAAAGTGGTGTTACATATCAAATTGTATAATTTTCATGTACTTACTGTTATGCCAAAGGCTGCAGTATCTGTCCCACTTCTCATGGAAGGGGGGATCATCTCAGGTGTTAACTGTGTTGGAGGCTCTATACCTTTCATTTTCAGATTGATTAGATACATTGCTAAAGCAAACTGTTCAGAATTTAACTTTCCTAAACCTTTCATATCACATAAAGACCTGAAAAAAAGATATTATCCTAATTATGGCATTAAAACCACGTTATTCTTATTATGGAATAAAAAAATATTCAAAATAACTCTAGGTAAAACGCCTTATGGCAAAACTTCTTTATTTCCATTTTGATTACATTGCTTCCCATGTCTATTTCTAACATTTTTGCTGTGAGTGTTTCCTGTGAAGGAAATTAAAAACACTTTGAGAATACAGTAAACTGTGTATATCTTACTCTAATATAAGAGTAGTAACTGTTTTGTGATTTAGTATATGTTATCATTCAGCTAGTCAAAGGCTATAACTCAGTCATGTGTGTTGCTTAGGACAAAGGGTAGCTCTAAGATATATAAAGATGGAGGAAAATTTAAAAAAAAGTTGCTTATCTCATTTTTATATAAAAAAAAATAGTCTCTGTTTAAGAACTTGGTTACTGTGCCCATTAATATATTATATAAAGACTTTTATGGATAAATTTTGAATAGCTTCAATATCATATGCAACAGCTAACACTTATTTGCTGTTTCCCAAATTTCCTGTTTCCCAAATCAAGATGTATTTAATGACAATAAACACATAAAGCAATCATAATCAATGGAAAACAACACTTAACAGTATGTTAAAACCTTATACAGACAAATTATATAAATATTCATAATGTTTGTAATGGGAGATAACTCTAGCATTAAAATACTTATAAATTAAGAATTACTTCCATGTGAGTTGGACATACTTTTGAAATATATGGATATTTAGGGGTGACCATGATTACAAGAAATTATGGAATGTTTAGTCAAAGAAATAAGATCAATTGAAAATAACTGTCTTCATTCGTAGAATTAAGCCAATACTTTATAAGATAATTTCAATCATAAAATTGTTATCATGTAAAAATATCTATTGTATTACCATCTTCTCCATGTCATTTTAATAATGAGATACTAAGAAGTAGATAATTAAATTCATTTGGCCTTACCATATATGAGCAAGAACATTATTTGGAACTCCACTCTGTACAAATATATCTCTGGTTTCTTGTCCCGTTACATAACCATCCATATCTAAATCAGCTGTTTTAAACATGGCATCAAATCTACTTTTTTCAGTAGCATTTACAACCCACTGCCCACTCATCTGTAACAAAAATCATTTACATTTATTAGTTTTCTTGTAAAACATCTAATCATTTTTTTCATACAGTTTTACAAGTTTTTTACATTTTTTTTTTTCGTTTTAATACATAGCTGTATTAATTTTACACCTACTACTTTATACTGAAGAAGAAATTTGATTAGAAACAGTTTTTCTTAATTTATATAATTTTTGCAAACTTTATATAACTTATAGTAAAATATTAGTTTACTTATTGTTTTGCTATTTTGACTTAATCACATTCAAATTAAGGTAGATTATCTGTATACCACCATCTTGGATTGTAAAATAGCAGTACACAATCAATCTTGTTCTTTGCTTAAATCTGCAAATTTTGAAACAGATTGACATTTAATTTGTAGACTGTAAGTCATTGATAAAAGATCTGATGGAAGATTGGACTTATCAATGGTACTTACCAAGGGAGAATCTGACCTCATTGTTGGTGTTGACCTCCCACCAATCACCCCTGGAAGAACAGGAACAGATCCTGGTAGTGAAGGTATTGCCCCTGGTAGAACTTGTACACCACCTGGTATGGGATTATGCTTTCTTTTTGAAGGAGGTATAAGGGCTATTGGTAATGTTGATGGAACTGGTTCTTTTTCTATAGCTCTGTATACTAGATGCATTGACTGTGAAAAAAAAAATAACATCATTGATTGATGCATTTTATTCTCATAAACATTAAATTTTTAAAATTATGTGTCAATATTGTTCTCTTACAATAACATTATACAGATGTTTCATTAGAAGTTAATCTTTCTGATTGGCAGACAACAGTCATGTGGTGTTTAAAGTGATGTTTTATGCTGAGTACAACACAACCATAACAGCACATGCTCTACACATCATTATAACAGTGCCTTTTAATATTAAATAACAAAATACTTGTAATATCAAAAAACAAAATAAAACATAAAGATTGATTAAACTTGTAATTCCCTGGTTTTAGCAATCAAATATAACTACATGTTTAAGAATTGAAAACTATGATGATGGATGGCTGTTTAACGTACAGCAGCAAATTAATGCATTTTCAGGACAAGATCATGTTAATGCAATATGAATATTAATTTTGCTTTTTATTAGTCTGACAAATTGAGCTTGATTTCTAAGGTGCTAGTTCACAAGGTGCCAGTCCACAGGAAGTCATGTCATCTTACCCAGACACATTAATCTGACTCCCAGCCAACCAGTCTCTGCTCTTACTCCATAATGCTGCATGCTTGAAGAAGCAGCAAACACCAATTTTAAAGTCTTTGGTTTGATCAGGTCTGGGTTTGAACCCACATCCTCAGGCACTCAAGGTGAGCACACTACTTCAAGACCACAGAAGCAGTGAATTGAAAATGAAAATAACAGTTTATAAATTTTGTGTGTCAGAATTGCTTTTCTGGATTAACCATCAGAAAGAAGGCACAAAACCAAAAATTTGAAAGACAAGGATGTTAGCTTCTTTTTGTAGTAATATAAGAGTATAAGATATTTGTTCTGTCTTATAGGTAATATACTACTTACCACACAAAATTCATCTCTGTCAAGGTAGCCATCTTTGTCTACATCACTTAATTCCCAGATATTTTTTAAAACGTCTACAGGTAACTTGGAATTCATTAACATCTAAAATAGAATGATAATATACAAGTCTACAAAATTCTAAGCAAAAAGTTTCTTTATATACATTACTAGCTTACATACTTTTTTATTACACAAGTATCATTGTATCAGCACATTTTGTTGATAATTATTAATTATATTTTGTTTAAATTTATGCTTACCAGGATATTTCTTTTTTGGTTTTAAAAGGCAGTACTTTGAATAATGCTAACACAAGAAAACTTATGAAGTTGAAGAAAATTTACTGCTTCAAACTTATCACATGATAACAATTTTAATATTCTATCTTATCCAGAGGTCTAATTTTGTCTCCTGGCAACAATCCATTAACAGTCTTTTAAGTCTCTGTGAATACCTACAGATCTAACTTTGTCTCCTGTCAACAATCCATTAACAGTCATTTAAGTCTCTGGGAATACCTACAGGTCTAACTTTGTCTCCTGACATCAGTCCATTAACAGTGAGCTAAGTCTCTATGAATACTTACAGGTTAGACTGTTGTCTCCTGACAACAGACTATTAACAGTGAGCTAAGTCTAAATGAATACTTACGGGTCTAACTTTGTCTCCTGACAACAGTCCATTAACAGGAACCAAACTATCAAACAACTGGTCATACTTGGTTTTCTCTACAGCCTACAAAATAACCAAACAAAAAATATTCTCATAATAATATTTTTGAACTGCTTGGTATATTTATATTAATTATTTTATAAAATTACTGCATAATATTAGGGCATTGGCAGTCAAGAGGACAAAGCAGCTAATGGAAAAATACTTAGACTGTTCACTAATCAATTACCAGGTTCACTGAAGTTTAATCTATATTTCAAAACGAAAAAATGAAAATAATTTCTGTCCCTTATTTCATTACCATTATTTATAGGTGGTTGGACAAGACAGTTCTCCTTAACCAATCAAACTTGTTATTTACACCACAGTTATGTACATAAACTTAATTCATGTATTTATTTATATTTTTTGTCAATATTATTTTACCAATGTAACTGACCTTCTTTTCTAACAAACCTTATCTTTAAGACATCATATTGTTGTTTATTCATACAATATTTCTCAAAGTTTTTACTACATATTTATTATTTTTAATATCTAAATTCATTTCTTTATCTTGCTAATCTAAATGATAACATTTTAATTGACATATGTATTAAGGTAGCACAATACAAAGATTTTTTTACTTCCAATCTCCAACCTTTAAAATGATGTTACTTTCTTATGACTGCATACAAATTAATAAAAGAGGTATATATAGATAGATAAAAGATTAATCTTTTAAATGAATGCACTATTTTTGTTATGCAATCATTATGTAATCAATTATTATGCAATTAATGGCAAAATCTTGGTCAGTTCACTTGAATGAATTTAGCTCTGACATCTCTATAACTACACAAGAAATTTTAACGTTATCTTAATCAACACAGCAGGAGCTACAAAAGGGTGTCTCAAATTATCGCTATTGTATTCCATTCTCTCATAAATCTGTAATTAGTGTAAACATCCTTACCACAAAAAAGTAGAGATTATTTGATTAGGTGTAAAATTTGATCAATACATTCTATCCAAAATCTGAGACACCCTTTTGTAGATAATGGCTCTAGGAACAACATTTTATAAAATCAACCCTCTCGGGGTATGCATGAAGAAGCTAATTTCAATTGAAAGTGGAAATTTCTTGTAAAATTTTGTAGACACAGTTAAAATTATAATTAATTACATAATTGTTGTATAATACTAACATTGCATTAATTTGAAAGAGTAATCTGTTAGCTATCCATAAATACCACTTTTATAAATTTTCAAGCATTATAAAGAAAGTTACAGCATTTTTAAACTGGGGAGTTGGAGGTATAAAATCTTTGTATTGTGCTACCTTAAATGTGTTCCATTTGGTTTTGATATTAAATGATACAAAGAGATACTAACCGAAACTTTCCATGGTACACTGGTGGCATTCTGTACAGCTGGCTCATGCTTTGGAGTCAAATCAACTGGTCCCTGAAAATGCAAATCACTAAATATAAGGCACTGGCATTACTGTATGTGTGTTTTATGTTATTGTATGTGTGTTTATGTTATTGTATGTGTGTCCATGTTATTTTATGTGTGAATATGTTATTTTGCTATTGTATTAAATTCTATTAGTAACAATACTGTGGATTTATTATTATTCATGGGATATCAATTTTCAATGATTTCTTGGGTAAAGATGAATCACAAATTTAAATGTCCAAGGAAGTACACATTTCTATAGGCATGTATGAGACTGGCAAAACCATGAGTTTAAATATCCATGAAAAGACGATATTTCCTCAATCCACGAAAATTAGTACCCTAAAAAATAAAAATGAATCCACAGTAAACTATTATTACTAAGTTTTGTATCGCTTTATCTCCAGCAAACGAGATAACAGCAATGACTTACAGGGCAATGCCATAAAACCAGAGTTTCAAGATAAAGTGGTGACATTAACGAAAGAATGCTACCCCTTTCCTTACCTTATTTGGTTAAAGAATTTCTTTTTTTTTACCTTAATATGAATGTTGACAATCTTTATACTCTTCATTGTAACTAAAGGACCATTTACATTTTTACAGGACTACTAAATTTCATCCTGTGCTAATGATTTGGACTTTCACTTAAAAATTATGTATAACAGTTGTTTCCACTCCATGTGCATTACAACAATCAAGGACCTTGTAGTATCTATCAAGTTGATACTTTAAAACAGTCTGATTTCTTTACCAGCAGCTTTGAGTTGAGCTTTCTTTCAGTAACTGAGAGCATTTTTTTATATTCTGGTTTAAACCCACCACATTTTGTGCCTGAACGGAGTCAGGCTATCTGGACCAAGTGTGATTCATTGTTGTTTTTCTTTGTTTGTGTGCCACTTTAACTCATACAAAATGTAGAGTCAGGCAGTTGGTGTGGTCTACTGTACCGTCAAATAATTTTGGGGATTCCTTTTAATGTCAACTATATGTATTATTGATTAAAATTCAAACTTTAATGAGTAATTTCATACATACAACATTAGGTTGTGGAGCTTCAATTATCAGATTTTGTAAATTTAAGTCCTGGTTGCTCTGTGATAATGCCACCATCTTTAAAGCTACATAAAATCCTGGTTTCTCTAAGTATCCTTTCCCTGTTGGATCTGATAAGTCCCATATCTGCTCAAATATAAAATTCATTCTTATAATACAAACTTCATCAAATGCTAACCACTCCAATCCCCACCTCATAAAAACAGGGTTCTCACTAAGGATTTTTGAAAGTGAGTCCAGGAACTTGCCATTATTGGCAATGGCGAGTCCAACAGTGAGAAGATGAAATTGTATTGCTATATACATGTACATGTTATGTGTTATTTTAATCCCCATGACAAAAATACAGCAAGGAAATGACATTAAATTTACCTTTTTTTTAAACATTTGTTATAAACTGATGATATATGTGCTCAGTTTGATTCAACATTTTACAATCTTAATGCATTTTTGGACTCACCAGACAGATTTTCATGAGTAGGACTCATGGACTCACCTTAGTGAGAACCCTGAAAAAAATGTACTTGGTAAACTGTCTTAATTGCTAGTTTGATGGGGTTGAACCTGTAAAACTTCTGTAAAATTTCCTTTTTTCTTTAAATGATGTGTGCTTAGTTGATGTGCAGTAATAGCAGTTTCATTCTCTCTTGTTCAGTTTATTCAGAATTTTAGCAAGCCATCAACTCTTATACTTGTGTTTCCTACAGGAGGAAATTGAACAATGCAGTGCCCTGTGGTACATCATGGTTGATACTGCAATTCATCTTTTGGTAAGATCAGTCAAGTTATTTCCCTTTCACCATTTTATCGAATTTTACAATTGAACTGTCACATTTTTTAAGTGACAGAGTACAAATACTGTTGATAATTCAATGGAATTATCACAAAAGTGCCTTAGTACATTCATAATTTTTAAATGTCTACAATTTAAAGGGAGAAGAATGCGATTGTTTGAGCCATAATTCTACAATGTATGGGATGTTGAATAATCACTGACCTGATTGTTTATAAATGTATTTTCATTTAGTATGACCATTTTAACTATTCAGTCAGTTGAGGGTGAAATAGAGTGGGGTCTTATTCCAGTTTTCTTTCTGTTCTTATTTAAATTTTGATAAAAAATATAGAACTTTGACAGATAAGTTTGATTGCATCTACAATGCTTTAGAAGATAATGGGCCATTTACAGATTAACTGATTAAATAAATCAATAATGGTATATTTTGTTGAAATCCCAATTCATAACAGTTCCTTTATATCTCTATTAAGTAAGAATACCTTAATAGTGTGGTCATCCATGCAGGACATACTACATTATATAAGGTGAACCAGTTAATTTGCATACCAAAAAGACAGTAAAATGGTATTGAGCTTGATAGATATAAATAATATTCATTAATTTTGTGTAGATAAACATTACAATACCTGTCCCAATACTGAATCTTTGAGTCCTGATTTCTTTAAGAAGTTTGCAGCATCTAAAGCTCCTATGCTTCCTGTTCCTTTTGGGTCAGCCTATAAATATATAAATATAAAAATTAATTAGAAATATACTTAAGATAATACTGTTTAGTTACATGTTGTACATACATGTATGTAAATTTGATATTTTGTATTTCAGTCCGTTGCTGAGCTATACAGCACTTTAATTACAAAAAAAAACATTTTCAACTAAAATTTAATTCTTTTATCACTTTATACAAATGTAAGACTACAAAATCAAAGAAAATCTTAAGATTGTTAGAATTGATATATAATCAGAGGCAGGTGCTACCTGATAAGCTGTGAAGGCTATTTTTCAGTAATCAGATATTCAAGGTTGCTGGAAATTGTATGCTCCTCAGATCCAAATTTGTGGGAAACCATATGCTTCTTAATGGTGTTGTACAACAAATCCCCAAAAGGAACAATAACAGGAAAGGGTTTTATTGACCACCATGTTATTGACAGTCTTCAGGTTCTTTTTAGTTGTATGACCCAAATTGATAGTTTTACTATTTAACATGTTTATGTTACCTTAAGAAGCATATAAATTGTAAAGTTTTTTTTTATTACAGAAAGAATAAACATAAATTACATCTACCTTTACATGAAAAGACATTAAAAACATACATTGTATTTATCTTAGCATATGTTATGTGTGAGTGTGTGAGTTCTATGCTTAGTAATGGTTTTGGATGTAGTGATCTAACTATTAGACAATACCTGATTATAATATGCTTCATAAACTAATGCATGATTACCAGCAATCTGAAATAAAAAAAAAAAACACAGTATCAATAAATGAGTTTCAAACTATAAATTGTGTGATCAAAGAATTTTTTTTCTTAGTCATGTTAGTTGTACATATTTAGAGAACTAGATGTATGGTTCAAAAGAGCCTGCATTGCTCAATAAGGCATCTTGATCTTTGTCTATCAAAGAATGGTCGTCTTCATCTCAAAAATCCTCCATATGTTTGTTATCATGTTTATATGCATTTTACCTTTTTATTTACATGTAAGAAATAAAAACATGAATATATATGTACTTTAAAATACTTCGTGTATTGTGATTAGTCGTCATTGTTTAATACCAACGAGAAGGTGACACCTCCTGAAATGAAAAACTGATTTTTATAAGCTATAGTGAGAGGAGGGGATAAGATGTTTGGGCAATGCTAGGCAGTGTTGCAGTAGAATAGAGAAGTAAAAGAACAGGTTCCAGCCTATATGGTGGGGAGGAAGTAAAGAATGAGATCTAATCTTACAATGTAAGGTTGACTATCTAGGCACTATATATATATAATAGTTTAATTGTAAAGTTGTATATGAACTTATAATGAGGGTGAAAGGACCCAGCTGGGAAACATGTTATCAAGTGGGAGAAGGGGACATGATAGTAGTTTCAGAAAAATAGTGTGTTGGGTATACTTTGTGGCAGCTAAGTTGTTTTTGTAAGATTATTTAACAATTAAACTTTATTCATTTGATTTTCTTTCATCTAACATTTAGGAAGAATTGAAAACACAAAAATGAAAGAACAAATATCTAACGCCCAGAAGGAGTTATAATTTGCGACTACTTGTAGGTCAATTGTCTACTGCAAAATATGAGGAACGACTCGACCATTGCAATAGATTTTCTAATTCGTTGCTAAATTGTTAATGGCAAAGTGGGCTTAATGGAGAAAAGTATCGCCTATTCATTAATAATAGAGTTTTAAACCTGTGGAAGTGGTGGAAAATTTGACATCCTTAACCGGAAATGTTCGTTAGCTGTTTAATATCTAGATACAGTGTCGGTCCAACTGGAATTTCCGGAAGAATTAAACTGTTAATCGTAGCAAGAAGACAGATTGATCATATATTTGAGAAGGTTTTTTCTTGGCAATCGAAGTTATTTAATGTCAGATATTAAAAATTAAAAAAAGAGTTTTTGAGAGTCAAGCTGCTTAAATGATAATGAATTGTTGTCACGGTAACGTCCTATGGCCAATATTACATGTATATACGGACGAGAACATGTTAATGAGATATGAGTGGGAACTCTGCTATGCTGAGTTGAATTTTAATGTGCTATTTCAAAAGGTAACAGTCCACAGACCCATCATGCCAGCCTACAGCAAGCCGTGACACCCGCATATGATTCGATGACAGCCCGGGGCGACATGCTTTGACCCGACTATAGCGGGCTTTGTTTTTTACTTATAGTGTAGCATTTTGTTCACAGAGTCGGTTTTAAAGGGCAGATGGTCCTGTCTCACTTATGGAGCTACATATATGGTTAATGCATATACTTTTTACAAGTCAATCCCAAGTTGAAACGTTCAGCACCAGTTGTCGCTTCCCCCTTTTTAAAAATTATGGATTCGCATCAGGTTCAAATGCATTTTTACTGATTATTTTATTGTGGTTAATTGGTACGTATAATAGGTTACAGAGACGTAGCTTTCATTCAAGAAGTGAGGCAACTGCCGGCTGCTCTCCACTGAATTTTGTCCAAGACAAAAACAAGAAGTTCACAAGTTAAGCGAGATAAAATGTACAACGTATATCACAAAGCTACAGTAAAAAGTAAAGATGGTTTTTAAAAATGACCCCTCTTCCCTTTACACACGTATTCCTTCTTCTTTTTCTTTTTTTAATGCAAAAAGAACGGATAAATTATATTCTTTGTAAAAAAAAACTCTTGATTTATCAAAGATGTTAGAACTGTAAAACTGACATGATGTTTGTTTTTTGTAAATAACATTTTTGTTACGTTTGGTGAACGGTTTTCGACATATAGTAGGATATCCAATTTGAACCAATTGTAGTCCTCTTCTCATCGACAATGTTCCTTTATTTTAACCAACCTGTTACCTTCAAATAATTGATTTAAAGCATATTGAAAACTACAATTATTTTATGAAGAGAGAGAGAGAGAGAGAGAGAGAGAGAGAGAGAGAATGGGGAAACAGCACCTCGCTTACTATCTCATAGATAGAAATGATTATTCCATGATAAGTTAAATATTATATAAATGAACTCCTCTTTGTCGAGTATAGTGATAATTTTATTTAACTGAAAAAATTAATCATACATAATTATGAATACCTAGTTAATTTTTAATTTACTAATCATCCAGCTAGCATACGTCCGCTTGGTTGTGCAATATATATAAATACACAAACACGTCCAGTTTGAATTGGAATGTAAAATGCGTGTCCGTGTAGAAAGAATGACACCACCACCCTTTGCACGTTGACGAACTTTTGCAAACACTGTTCAGAGGTTTGGTCTGTACTGAGGTAGACTGTTACATGGCAAAATTTCCTTTTCGAGTTACATTTGAAATTTCTGCCCTTAACCATGCATACACCTACTGATCGACCCAATTTATTGGAGTCTTGTTAATTTGTTCTCGTCCTGAATATTGATGAAACATTTTTCACTCGATATAAATCAAACAACAATCAACCAATCAGATTCGCATACAAAATTCAACTTTTTGAACCTGTAGATGCCTTCTTTTTTTTGCGACTCTGGTTTTGCCCTTGAACCACCCTTTGCTACTCACAAGCTGCATCACATTCTATGAATCATGCTTTGGCCTTGAATCCAAAAGCTCAAAATAGTTAGCCTCATAAGAAATAAGAATCAATATACGCACAGCCGGAGTTTTCCTTTCATAAATATAAAAAGAAGAAATGAAAAATCTAAATCTTACAAAATATGCACCCCAGGTGTCATAAAATAAAAGTTCCCTCATTCGATACGTTCAAAGTGGAAGAAATATTTTGCAATATCAATACAAAATAACTATTGTGGTGGGGTTCGTGTTACTCAGTCTTTAGTTTTCTATGTTGTGTTTTGTATATATATACTGTTTTTTGTCTGTTTATCTCTTTCTTTTAAAGCCAGCATGTCGTTGTCAGTTTATTTCGACTTATGAGTTTGAATATCCCTTTGGTATCTTTCGCCTCTCTTGTATTAAAGTTTTTTCCACATTTGTTTTCTTTTTCTTTCATTACGGTTTTCCCTTCGCACTTGCACAGTGTGGTTGCCGAATTTCTACCCAGAGATGTCATTGTTAAGATCACTGCATACGGAAAAGCTGTCGGCGAATTATAGTACGGGAAGACAAAAATTCAATAGGAGTACTTTTTTGAAGATTTGAATAAGTATACAGGATTTTCTATCAAAAGAAAGTCTATGTACACGTGTTTAATAGTAATACTTAATCATTCAAGTATTCAAGTATTTAAAACTTAAACCATTGTGGTGACGTCAGCCTATTCATTTACCGTGGATTCTTTTTCTAGAATCAACGCTTCCTAAATCTGCCACTGAAATGGACTCACCAAATTATATTCAATTGTTTCCTTTGTGTGTCTAATTTCATTAAGTTTGAATTGGCTAATTTACTGATTTCTATTCACTAATGGAATTAATTTAAAAACTTACCTTTAATTTTGTAATTTGTATATGCCTTCACTGGGAATCGAACCCTTCCTTGAAATATGTTATGAATGACTGACATCAACACATCGACAAAACCTCTCGGCTACCAATGGGTTACAACTTAGATGTCTATTTTATATATATAAATGAACATCGGACACACAGGGGTTGTACCTTTATATATACACAATGGGCAGTCGTATAGTATAAGTTGGTAGCCGCGAGGTTAGCATGCTTAAAATTAACGAGTTAAAAGATAGGGATTTGTCGGTTTAGGTTCGAATCCCTGTATTATCTCTGTTGTCCCAATTCTGTTTTTTTTTCTAATTTTGCATGTTATAGTGGATATTTTTGTAATAATAGCTAGTTTTACCGTTTATTTTTTGGATTATTATTGGCTATTTCACATGTTTGAAACAAAATTGATTACATTCTATTTGTCAATTTTTGTTGTATAAATATAGTATGATTTCATCTGTTTTACTACATAATTTTACAAATGTTTGTTTGCAAATTCCTATGCGAGAAAATCGTGATGTGCCTAGAGTGCTAGAAATTTCGGTTACACACTTATTATATATTCTTTATATATGCTCTTTGGTCGGGTTGTTGTCTCTTTGACACATTCCCCATTTCCATTCTCAATTTTATTAGAAATAAGTTTGAATATGTCTTATTTTGTAAAAACAGATAACATTCAGGTGCCTGATAATATAAAGATCTTTAAAGGTAGAAGTGTTATATTTGTATTTTGTTAACCAATTAATTGTGATCTGAGATTTATCAATGCATCGTTGGACACGATACCATGGTTATTTAAACTCACTTACAATACCTTCTAATTAAGAAAAGGCTTTAATTTTGAAAAGAAATTAACACAATAGTTTAAGTTATAGATACAATGGATAAGCGTAGATTCATGAAAAACAAACCATTCGCCCTCCGGGCTCATGGTTTCTTTTTCAAGAATCCACGCTTATCCATTGTATCTATATAACTTAAACCATTGTCGTGACGTCAGCCTATTCATTTACCGTGGATTCTTTTTCTAGAATCAACGCTTTCTAAATCTGTCGCTGAAATTATATTCAATTGTTTCCTTGGTGTGTCTAATTTCGTTAAGTTTGAATTAGCTAATTTACTGATTTCTGTTCACTAATGAATTAATTTAAAAACTTACCTTCAATTTTTGTAATTTTTATATGCCTTCACTGAGAATCGAACCCGTCCTTGAAATCTGTTATGTGTGACTGACATCAACATAGCGATGAAACCTCTCGGCTACTAATTGGATACAATTTATTTGTCTATTTTATATATATAAATGAACATATGATATACATCGGTACAACGGACACACAGGGCTTGTACCTTTATATGTACATAATAGGCAATCGTTAGCCTAACGTTGGCCGCGAGGTTAGCATGGTTAAGATCAATGAGTTAAAGAGTCAAGTTAAAGGTAGGGACTTGTCGGTTTAGGTTCAAATCACTGTATTCTCTTTGTTGTCCCTATTCTTTAGTTTTTCTGTTTTTTTTCTTATTTTGAATGTAATTGTGGATATTTTTGTAATAATAGCGAGTTTTACCGTTGATTTTTTTTTATTATTATTAGCTATTTTACATATTTGAAACGAAAATGATTACATTCAATTTGTCCATTTTTGTTTTATAAATATAGTAAGATTTCATCTGTTTTACTACATAATTTTACAAATGTTTATTCGCAAATTCCTATGCATGTAAATCGTGATGTGCCTAGAATTAGGCTTCTTGCTAGAAATTTCGGTAACATACTTATTATATATACTTTATATATGCTCTTTGGTCAGGTTGTTGTCTCTTTGACACATTCCCCATTTCCATTCTCAATTTTATTAGAAATAAGTTCGAATAAGTCTTATTTTGTAAACACAGATAATGTTCAGATGCCTGATAATTTAAAGGCAGACGTGTTGTGTTATATTTGTATTTTTCTAACCAATAAGTTGTGATCTTATATTTAGTAATGCATCGTTGAACATGATACCATGGTTATTTAAACTCACTTACAATACCTTCTAATAAAGAAAAGGCTTTAAGTTTGAAAAGACATTGACACAATAGTTTAAGTTATAGATACATAGATACCTCCGGGCTCATGGTTTCTTTTTTAAGAATCAACGCTTATTCATTGTATCTATATTATATATTCAACTTTTTTGTCACATCTGAAGTATCTCATTACTTTTAACTGATATTTTTTTTAAATAATAAAAACAGGCTTTTATGGTAGTACTAATGTTTTTTGAACAAATTAATCATTTCTCCACATTAATTATTATTTGATTTAAGAAATACAAGATAT